AAGACGTTCACAGCTTCACATTTTTGAATTTTCTGTGGCAGCTCTCGAAAATTTTTTGAAGTGCGATTGTGCTAAAGTGCAGAATTCTAATTGTAAAAGACCTCTGAAAATTCTTTCCATGCCTTGCAATCAAAAAATTTCCTTGCAGCAAAGCAAAAGCTTGTACCAGTTGGCGTGCAGTACATTGTGAACAATGTGGTGACTGAGTTACAAAAGGATCTTTCAAGAAGATTCTCATGGGCCGAAACTGGATTTTTATGGAGATGGATCAACACTCATCACGACTTTCAAAGACACAATCTTGTCAAGCTTGTGCAACGAGGTATGAGCATGAAACGGTCACTTGCTTGTCATAGTCGACCAGAGATAGACGCACCCGGAGAAAACATTGAACCAGTGGTTTTTTTAAGCTTGTAAGATATGCCCTCATGGATAGCATTATTAACCATTTCGGATAGTTCATAAAATGCGTTGTCATTGAAATATGAGAGTTTAGAAAACGCAATAAGAAAAGAACTCGTGAAGATTCGGCAGTATTACAGGTCAACTGGAAATCATTGGAGGAGGATGGGTACAAAATGATGAGGCTACGACACATTACATTGATATTGTCGATCAAATGACATTCGGACTGAGGAAACTGAATCAAACATTCGGCAGATGCGGTATACCTCGTGTTGCTTGGCAGATTGATCCGTTCGGACATAGCCGAGAGATGGCCAATCTTTTTGCGATGGTCAGAGATCTTTGTAAATTCATACGACAAGCATGAAAGCGCTTTTTTTCAACAATTANGAGGCTTTATTCTTTGCACGAATGCATTATCTGGAAAAGGCAAATCGTCTGAAAAACAATAGTCTTGAATTCATTTGGAACGTATCTGATGACTTGAGTTAGTAAACCGTTTCGAGAATTTATTCATTGTTACACTTTTTTTTGCTTTCACTTCCAGATTTCCATTGTTTGTTAATTTAATGTGATGATTTTTGACAAAATTTTTCTTCAAAACCAGTTAATATGGTTTCTGTTTTCTAGAAAACGATATTCTAACGGGTGCTTTTTACGCGGACAATTATGGGCCGCCACCAGGATTTTGCTACGATACTTTCTGTGATGATGAACCGATCATTGATGATCAAGTATATACTGAATTGAATAATGTTGATGAACGTGTGAATGCCTTCCTGGCATACGTCAAAAAACAGGTTGGACCGTTGTGAATCATTTAAACAACTCGAGAAGAGCTTTCATTCATCACAAACTCACTGACAGCAACATTTCCATTCTTTAGGAATGGTCGAAAACATCAGAGTTTGAGAACAAATATCATTACAGAAATAATGCAATAAATTAAGGCATCTCATCAACGAACGAATCATTTGATGTTGTTAATGGGAAGCGATTTCCAATATTCGAACGCCAATCAGTGGTTCACTAATCTCGACAAATTGATTCAATATGTTAACGAAAAGGTAAAGAGACACTGCTTCATTTGTGAACTTTTTCATTTTTTTCATCATAGGACACATTCATAGTTGTCATTTGGTATATTCTACCAATTTCAGTATTA